GAGGTTATGCAAATGATTTATTTGTGGTTTCACTTGGTCACATATTGGATTTGTAGTAATAGCGAGTCAAAATGCATCTCGGAAAGTCTATTTCTGTTGAGTCATTGTCTAAGCATTAGACGATTAATTGTGAGTAACTATTATTAGAAAGCCTTGTGGAATAAGATTCTAGAAATTTTTAGGATTTATAACTTTGATTCCATTTGATTTGAATTTATATGACTACTACACGAAATGCACATCAAGGACCAAATGGGGCTTTCTTTAGAGCGGCCCTTAATAAAGAATTTTTGGTAGAATAGAGGGATCTGCTGGCAAAGGAGTTATTAAAATGTGTCATATTAGTCATAAAACACTGGGCTTCCTCACAGTACTGTGAGGTCTTCATTCATAGCATGATCTAAAGTCTCTTTGAAATCTCTTTTTAAACGCTCTCTATAACCTTCAGTCTGTCTCTCTAACCCTTACCACATCATAACAACTATCTTGCACGCTAACACTTCCCCATAAATCTCTACCGTGGGATGGATTCTTCATCCACCGCCATGAATTCTTCAAGGTTTTGGAGGAGGAAAGGATGAGTCATAGACCAGGGAAAGCCCATATGAGGTTGGGAGTGTCTTCTTGGGTACAAGAATGTGGTAATTAGCTTGGAGATTGTCCAACCATGAGCTAGCTGTACTGGAAATTTTGATTCACATATGGCAATGGTCCAATATGGGTTCATCACGATTCATGGAAAAGATCCAATAAGGGTTCATCCTAGAATTTTCTTTTCCTTCACAGTTCTAACTCATCATTCTTTCTTCTTCCGTTTCATTGATTAACTGGTAGAAGAAATCCAAAGGAACACAAGGAAAATAACAAATTGTAAAAGTGAAGCATACAATCCAATTGACCAAATCCCAACCCAGATTGGGAAATTTCTTAACTTTCTCGCACTCTTGAGTTGTTGTAGTTGCCTTAATCGCATAAAGCATCCACATTGTTATTGCATTTTTCAATTGAAAGATCCCATGACATGAGTGTTTGCAATTGTTAAACGAATTGCATTAATGTGGCTACCAATTGCATATTTGCAAATTTGCAGCAAATGCAAGTCAAAAATATTTTTCTCTTTTCCTTGAGTGTTTGCATGAGTGTTTTCGCTTTTACTTTATTTTTCTTTAATTTAAACATAATATTTAATTACATATGCAATTGCAAGTTAATTGCATTGATGTAGGTGAATGAAAGTGATTTGAGGTAGATTGCAAAAAAATTGAGTTGGTAATAAAGAGCACAGATGCAATTGCAAAAGCAATTGTATTTATGCTCTATATTGAAAACACAATTTTTTTACAATTAACTTACAATTGTATATGTAATTAAATATTATGTTTAAATTATAAAAAAATAAAGTAAAAGAGAAAAGAAAATAAGATAAACTAAAAAATCTCCATTTTCAGGTATTTTTTATTTGCATATGCAATTGATAGCCACATTAATGCAATTGATTTTGCATGCCAACATTCATGCCATATTATCTTGCAAATTAAGATTGAAATACCAATGTTCATTCTCTAAGCTGCCCAACCATAACACGTTGGTAACTTTTCATTTGTTACTCTTTTTTACGCGACTTTTCATTTGTTACTGACACACAAATGTCCAAACATATTTTAATAAGTTACTGTCATAACACTAACGTCAAACCGTAAAGACACATAAATGTCCAAAATTCTGTAACGTCCACATTTTACATTCACAAGGGAAAAGCTAATTATCACAATTTTACTGTAAAACTGAAACAATTATCCCTTTGCAAACATATTTTTTTATTTTTGTTTATGAGATCATGTGAGAATATAAAATAGGGATGGCAAAAATATCGGTAACCGTGATATCCATCAAAATCCGATCTAATCAAATAGAATAAAACTCGAACCAGAAAGACTTTTAGTAGTTATCGGGTAAAATCAGAACCCAAATTTTGTGGGTAATGGGTCGGGATGATTTTCTCAATATTCAACCCGAACCTGCCCGATTACACACATGCATATGTACTTTCTTTATAAATAATAATTATTTTTATCTAACATATTTTATATTTAGCATATAAATATAATATTTTCATAAAAGTGTTATTTTAATTAATTTTATTCATTCTAGTGAATTATTGTCGTACTTTTCCTCTTACGTAATGTGAGTATACGTTTGAATGTTAACATATTGGTTGAAGTTATAAAGAGAAATTATTACCGATGGATAAATGTGGATACCCAAAAACCAAACGAATATGGGCATAATTTTGATTTTCTACCCGTTCTCATGTGGGTATAAATATGGCCGTATGGATCTTGAACTACTTTGAGTGGGATAACGAATATGCACTATCCATCCGGACCCGATCCATGGCCATGTTTAAAACATTAAAGTTGGAAATAAATAAAAAACCAAAACGGGCCCACGAACAAGCGAATAAATAAAGATTGGAAATGATCCCTGTCAATGTTTGCAACACCACCGACAGGATTAACAGGGACTTCATTTGGGGGAAGGATGAGAACCAGGGTAAGATGCATCTTGTGGCCTGGGAGAAACTTGCAGAACCGAGAACGCAAGGAGAAGGAGGACTTCGGGCGCTTCGACAGGCCAACCCTGCGCTTTTAGCCAAAGGAGGATGGCGCATTTTGCAAGAAAAAGATACGCTTTGGACTCAAATCATGAGGGCGAAGTATGGATGGAGGAGAAAAGATCTGAACATTTTCTGCCCTTGTCAGGGAAGTTCTTTTGCTTGGTCGAGCATTAACAAAGCTGCTAACTTGTTGAAACAAGGGTGTGTGTGGAACATTCATAATGGGAAAAACACTAACTTTTGGTTGGATAATTGGATTTTGCAGGAACCGCTCATTGAGGCTGCAAGTCAACCAGTTCCGGTGGAGGAGCGTGCTAGGACAGTGGCCTCCTATATGGATATGGATGGTCGGTGGGATATCACTCACCTCCCCTAGTGGCTCTCGACGGACATTCTTCAGAAGATCACTGCTGTTATGGTTGACCCTCTGTCTCTATATGCGGATCAAATCTTCTGGAAGGTGTCCGCTGATGGTCGTTTCATGACGAAGACTGCTTACCAATTGAGTCAAGTCGGGCGCTTTGAACAGAATGACCAGATCTGGAAGGATATTTGGAAGCTGCCAATTCCTGAACGGATCAGATGCTTTTTCTGGTTGCTTTTTCTCGGTTGGGTTGTTACCAACGCTTTACGTTTTTGAAGGAGATGCAGTGACACACCGGCGTGCGACATGTGTGTAGACACTCCCGAGACGGTGCTTCACATGCTGCGCGATTGCCCGCCGACGCGGTTTTGTTGGTCTCGTTGGGTTCCGATTGACAGACAGGCGGATTTTTTTTCACAGAGGCCAAGAGGATTGGCTCCGCAGCAATCTCAGCAACGAGGATATTATGGAGTCTGGTTTGGTGTGGAATGAGTTCTTCAGCATTGCTATTTGGTTGATCTGGAAGAACAGGTGCACAACATGTTTCAAAGGAGCGAGCAAAGCCTTCACAGCTCCGACTTTGGCTCATTCAATACAGCACAAGTCCCTTCTTTGGCACAAGGCGTGGGAGGCTCCCTCCAAAAAGCCAGGTCGGTCAATCTTGCAGGGGGGCAGGACCACCGAGCAGATCAGATGGCAACCTCCTAGCACATGTTGGAGCAAGCTAAACATTGATGAAGCATCAGCTGGTAACCTAGGGATGGCGGGTGCTGGTGGAGTGATCAGGGACGAGCAAGGGAGGTGGATTGCTGGCTTTGTGGCTAAGATTGAAGAAGCGACTGCAGCTTTAGCAGAGCTTTCGGCTTTCTACCATGGGCTGAACCTGGCTTGGAAGCTTGGATGCGACAGCTTGGTGATTGAGTCGGACTCTCAGTTAGCTATCCAGTTGATAAACAACCGGAGGGACCCGGTGCATCCGTACGCCTCTTTACTTGATGCTATCAGGAGGAAGTTTGCGCAGAGTTGGCTAGTCAGGGTAGTTCATACGTATCGAGAAGGGAATAGAGTCGCGGACTGGCTCTCGAAGCACAGTCTCGTCTATCCCTACGGTACGCATGAACACTCTAATCCGCCGGGGGAGGGGGGGGGGCTTATTCAGATCCTTAGAGATGATATAATGGGTTTTTCCATTGAGCTCCAAGTGAGGGCGCCTGTTGCTCTGTAACTCCCTCTTCTTCTTTCTTGGCCTCGGCCTCCCATATTACAAAAAAAAAAAGATTGAAAAGTGTGAAAGAGAAAAAACGACGCCGCAACTTCCATACTAGAAGGTGTCTGCTTGGGTAGAAGAATGTGATTAATTAGCTTGGAGACTTTCCACCACGATGACTAGCTAGCTGTACTGGAAATTTCGATTCACCTATGGCGATGGTCCAACGGGATGGCAAGGGGTCGGGTTGAGGCGGGTTTCGTCAAACCAAAAACCAAACCCATGGGTTTATTCACAAAAAAATTCGGGGTAAAATTCGTCGGGTTTGAAAAACTCAAAGCCAACCCAACCTGCTGGGTATCCGCGGGTTCATGGGTATCCATGGATTTTTAATAAGTTTGTTTCAAAATAAAAGTCTAACATCAATTTTGTCATAAAAGTTATCCATACAAAAAACACCAATATAGAGGATACAAGCAAACGAAAAATTATCAATACAAATTTTTCAAAATTAAAGATAAACGCAAACCAAACCCAACTCGATGAACAGTGTAACGGGTTTAAACCCAAACCCGCCCAAAACCAGTCAACCCCACAGGTACCCAACCCGTCAACGCGGGTTTTACCCACTTTGACCGGATTAGCTTGGATAGGGTACCCGTGGGTTCGAATTTTGTCAATCGCATCCAATATGGTTTCATCATGATTCATGGCAGTGGTCCAATAGGGGTTCATCCCAACAAACACTTGGAACATTTGAACGAGACTTTCACAGCTTCCCATCAAAAAAATAAAAACAAATCTCCTTGCTAAAAACATTATTATCATTATTCAATTTGCACTGAACGGCTGAAATTTACAATTAAATTTCAGAGGAGCCTGTAGTAACATGCCACGTATACCGCCACCTAATATCCAGAACCCCGGACGACAAATTGACAACCATCTCCATGTTCAGTTCCCACAATAATCGAAATTTATAGATAAAAAAATGATATATTTATAAAAAAATTACTTAACGGCGTTGTTATCATCTCTGTGCCTGTTCCGTCCATCAGGATTGATGACCTCATAAATCTTCCATCCCGCCGGTCCAATGAATCTTCTAGACGCTGACGCTGCAACGCTCTGCCAGCGTGTACTTAACGGCGTTATTGCCGACAAGCACGCCGGCGTTCCTTTTCCCGAACTGGATGTAGGCCTGACAGCGGGAGTACAAGTGGTAGCGGCCGGAGATGAAGGAGCCGACCTTGAAGCGGACGCGGCCGTCCATCTTGATGAGGAGCTGGACGGGGCCGGAGGACTGGTCCTGGCGGAGGGAGACGGCGTTGTAAGGCGCGACGGGGATGGCGGTGCCGTAGACGAAAGGGGACCAGACGTTGACCTCCTTGTGGCCCTGGTAGAAGGGCTGGATTCGAGTGCGGAGGGTGATCTGCTGGGTCCGGTACTCGGCGTAGACGTCGAGCTTGTCGTAGTAGACGCCGATCTTGTCGTTGGGGTTGCGGGTGGAGAAGGTGACCTGGAGGTTGGAGGTGAGGAAGTTGGGCGTGGTGGCGTTGAAGGCGTAGACGGTGGCGTCCTGGAGGAGGAAGCTGGGCTTGCTGGGCCGGAGTACGGCCCAGACTATGAGGATGGTGACAAGGACGATGAAGAGGAATACTAGGATTCCGGCGAAGATCCGGCGGAAGATCTTCCTCCGCTTGTGGCCGTGGCTGCCACAGTCCTTGGCCGACATGGTGGTGCGCGGTGGAGGAGCTGAAGAGAGAGAGAGAGAGAGAGTTTGCGGTGTTTGGGGAGAGAAAGGAGGGAAGGGAAAGGAAGAGTACTGAGCTAAATTGTGTGCGCGTGGAGGGGAGACAGATGAGTGAGGAGAAGAAAGATTGGGGAATGGAGGAGGGGGCTATTTGTTTTGGAGTGGCCACGGTGGCGTGTGAAGAAAAGCTTTGTGGTGTTGAATTGTTGGGTTGAAATTGTTGGATTGGTTTTGGGGAACTTTTAGTGTTAGAATCGATGAGATTCTCCTATATAGCAGTAAAATTGGTTATAGTCTGCCTCTCAAAATTCATATACATTCTCTAAAGTTTCATTATTTAAGTTGTAGCCCAAGATTTAATATAAAATTGAAGTTAATAGTAGTTTAGGCGAGTGATGCTACTTTTTCAAGTTGGCAAGGAGAGTGGGTGATTGAAGTGGAATCTAAGGAAGTCCATATTGGATCACGCAATTATGTTTTGCTTGAACAACTCAAACCACTTTATCATGAAAACCAAGGCGAGAGTAGAGAGTTCATTATCGGCAAAACGGAATTTCACCTTCTTTTTTACCTTTTTGTTAATTAATCTGCAAAAAGAACCAAAGCCCAAAAGGGAGCCAGATTTTGCAGATGCTGCTCTGCCCTGCCAACAAGAACAACCACTTTGATTTTTTTTTTTTTTTTTTTGAAGGAACCACTTTGATTTTTAACACATCGCAATTGTCATAAATTAATACGTTTTGCTAAAGATAAATACTTTCTATCGATTTACAACAAAAAATAAGAAAAATAAAGAACTTGTTGAAAAGTGTTTTGCTTAGAACAGTTGGATGATGTGGGACTAAGTCAAGGTAGATTCAACAGACACGTGTCAAGTATTTCTTGCTAGCTTATTTCATCGACCATCCTTTTTCTCCCACAACATGCCATTTTCTCCCTAGTCCCTTCCTACCTAAAAGCTCAACGACCTAGAACTGGAAGGTATCAAGCAAAGAACCCAACACATGAATATTCATAGTAATTCATATATATTATATTCATAAGTGAAAGAGGACCAGAAAAAAGGGTTAAGAAAATTAGTCTACGAGGATGTCATTAAAGTTTCAACCCAAAATAGTGTTCGTAGCCGTATCTGTTTGAAGTATATGTACCAAACTGTAATTGTACATATGTATAACATTATAGCCGTTAGGATTGTCTCAGAATCTATCTCTATATAGATCGTAGTAACCCTATAAAAAATCTAAGTTGAATTAAGTTTACTTAAAGAGTTCCTTGACATTCAAGAAAACCATGTTCAATTCATATTCTTTGTCTTTTGTTTTTTTCGGCTTCTGATTTAGCCTTCTTCAATATGACAAGCGTCCTCATTTTACTGTGAAGCTTGTTGAGTTTGTATTTTCTAGATGCTCTTCTTTAGCTTGCCATTTGTTGCTCATCTCGTAGATTGGTGGTGTTCATTCATTTCTTTCTAGGTTATTGATAAGATAATCCTAACTAAGTTGGATATGGTTGCAGCCAAATATTCGATGAAAACAGTTTTCTCTTACATGATTTCCAATTCAGGAATTTTGCGGAAGGCATACAAGAAAACTTACAATCAGCGACCATTTCCTATACGATAATTTTAGAGTGGTCTAAGATAATCCAAGGTTTAACAACCACTATCAGAATGGTCGTGATTAACCCTTCGCTTCACTGACCACTAGCAACCTGGTTGTCCTTAAGGCAAATGTTTAGCGACTGCAGATTCTACTGCACATGAGCAAGAGAATTGGGCAACTTCGAATGTCCAAGTTGTGCTTTGGCTAATAAGCTCAATGAACAAACCCGCACAAGGGTGCTGCAATTCTTGACCAAATGAAAGAATTGAACTTTCTACGTACCTAACACTACAAGAAACATAGTTGTGGACATGCACAGGATCAAACATGACTAATTGAGGAATTAAATGTGGATGCGTGTTGTAGACGAGATTGCTTGCTTCGCTTGTGTTTTGCTATTGAACCTACTTTAATTAGTTTACTCGACCCAATCATTAAAGAAAATTAAATTTAAGAACGAGATGGGAAAAGATAACTACCTTTCTCTACTACTTTCCTAGAGAGTAACCGGCCATTGTTATTATTCTCAGGCTCGCTTGACAAATCAAAACATGCTCCTTGTCCACAACCTTCCACCTAACCTTCGGTCAGCTCCCTTTCTAGATCCATGCCAACAACAACAACTAATTATATTCTTTTTTCTTCGTAATTAACTAATTGGGTACGCCAATGGTGCATTGCAAGTCATTGTAACTTGCACAATTCGGTCGACCTATGCCCAACTGAGGTCCACCGAACTCACTGTCGTGGTCACTCTGATGAAAAATCAAGGCCGACAATTAACATATAGTCGTCGAACATTTTAAGTTAGTTGATACCTTCATCGCATACAGTAACAGGTCGACCTCTTATAAGAAAATCAGCCTATGACCTTTGACATTTTTGCTTATGTATGTCGATGTGTGTGGTTCGTTTGCTCGTACAAATTATGTTTGAAACCAACATAATCAATCCTCTTTCATGATAGCAAGAAACCATAACTTCATAATGTAACAACTTAACACACTAACAAAAAATACAATAAAACACACCTCATAATTGTTCACACATACCTAAAATCGAAAACCAAAACCATATAATATCAATCCACAATCAAAGTTTATTCAAACCAAATCATCTTTAAGACTTAACAACAACAAAACACAATCTAAAAGCATAGAGTTCCTAGACCTCTCCCCTCTCCCACTCATTCGCATTTCCTTCATTGGTGGTGCTAGCGTTATGATAGTAGGATGTGGTGGGATGCATGCATCTCTGTTATAGTCACATGCAGTGTTCTCATCTGGGTGGACATCTGCCCCATGTAGTCATATATGCTAGTCATTTGTGTAGTCGTATATGCAGTCATCTAGGTAGACAGCTACCCCTTGTAGTCGTACATGCCATTCATGCGGTCCCATATACCATCTAAGGTGACTACTGGATTTGAACTTTGTGGCTCCGCCATTGGCTCGTCGTCATCGTCATCATCATCATCATCATCATCATCATCATCATCATCATCATCATCATGGACTATATGAGGATTGTATGCTCGGACATACACACCATCATGCATCTCAAATCCCATTTTCTTCAGGGATGTAACTGTGTAGAACTTCTGCCTTGTGACTCTTAAGCCAACCTCACCGCTTAAATCCACACAAAAATGCTAACATAGCAAAGTCAGGAACATCCCATAGGGAAGATTTCTGTTTGGACTCTCTGCAACAGCAAGCATGTGTTTAAAGATCAAGTATGACAATTTCACCTTCTCATTTGAAAGTAGGTTGGTAAGGAGCTACCTGTCAAAGTAGGTGACTGACTCCCGATGTCCACCCTTTGAAAGAATGTTATAGCAGAGCATATGGTGAAGAACTCTGGCTTGAATTGTCTACTGGCGAATAGTTGGTCTACTGCGAGCCTCAACATCTTCCTCTTTATCAAGACCACATACAATATGTATTTGCTTGGTTCTCGAGAAATGAGTTTCATTCTAAGCATTTTAATAATCGATTCTCTTCCTAGTTTTGGAGTCTCTAGTACTTCTGCTAACACATTCTTGGTGATACGAATCTCCACCCCATTCACATAGCTTTAAAACGCAAGAATCGATAAATTTGTAGAACGTTGATAGATGATATTGTTGTAGAAGTACTGTACCATTTTTGGGGAAGTATGGTACATTGAGAAATATCACCTTCAACCAATCTTGCTCCAAAAATGGTGAAGGAACCCGTAATCCTTCAGATGAGCATACGCATCAGTCGTCAATGGCCTTCGAGGAGCCACCTTGGGGTTGTGCATTCTCCTTTCTTTATATTTGTCACTTTGCTCCTTGGTCTGAAATAGAGTTCGGTTGAACTCTTCCCATTCAGAACTTGATTCAGTCACTTTGGATGACTTTATTTTCTTCTTTTCTCTATCCATCCATAGATCAAAAGAAACGAGAGTTCACATTAGACGAATGACGAAACCAAATAAACTCGGTCTACCTGGCTGGAAATAGGTCGGTCTATACGTTGCATGCAGAAGCCTAAAAATATCAATAAACTAGAACACTTTGCTAGAATCAACGAAACAAATAAAAATGGTCGACCTCACTATAAATAGGTCAAACTTTTTTGCAAAAAAAACGCTTTAGATCGCCAAGATTTTTCCATAAATCGACGAAACCAAACACCATCGGTCGACCTCAAACATAATCGGTCGAACATTTTTTACAAATAGAGCTTAAATCGCTAAGACTATTGTATAAATCGACAAAATCATACGGAAACGGTCGACCTCAAAATAAAATTGGCCGACCTATTTTTGCAAGCGGAACCATAATAGAATCGGGTGACACCCAGCCAACCAAACGACCACTTGAATGATGTCGCAATGAAATGTGGTCGGCTGACCACAGACGAACAAGGTCGCCAATTTTGACGAAGAGTATACGAAACACTAACTTTATAGATTTAAAGCACTTGCCGAGAAACCAAACAGAGTCGGCCGATCGTGGATGCAGAAGGTATACCGATTATGTCGGAAAAATCTTACTTTTTGCAGGTTTTGTGGGTTTAAGAAAATCTACTTTCGCTGCAAACGGGGTCGGTCGATCTGGCTGTGAATCGGCCGACCAATTTTGTCGAGCATCAGCCAAAATCGCAGGTTTTGGGGGTTTAAATACTAGTCCATTCTATCAAAAATGTAGCAAATGTAAAGAACATACGAGAAACATACCTTATTCTTGTTATGAGCAGTTGTGAATGCAATAGATTGGTGGTTTTTTGTGCTTCTTCTAGGGTTGTTTTGGTGATAGACGGAGAAGTAAATGAGAGAAAAGAAGAAAGTGAGAAAGGCGTGAAGATAGAAAACTGAGCGGAGAAGATTCCTACATAGTGGAGTCAAAGGGGTAGGTTTTTAGGGTTGGACTGTATTTTTTTTTAATTTGGTCTGGTCATCCGAATAATTGCGTGGTCAACCACGTTCAAAAAATATGCGACCGAAATTAATCTGGTCAATCTCTTCCTCCATCAGGTCAACTGTTTCCTCTAATGCGATGGCGGTGATTTACACCTACCATCATACCAAATGGCCGATTGTATTTGTTGCACTTGTAGCATGCATCAAACGCGAAGACATCCACAAAAAATTGTAATATGCTCTGGT